AGTTTTATAGTTTGACAAACCTAAAATATCAGGGGATTGGTCTAGGTAAATGGTGGGTGCTACAAACGGGAGAGAAAGGGCAAATTCAGAAGGGAATATGATTACCTGAGTTTTGATGCATGCCTGTGGTAGGACAGGAATAATTTACTAAGTTTTTTTTTTTTTTTTTTTTAGGAAAGGGGTGGGTTTGAACCCGCTACCTCTGGCATATGGGGCCAGCTCCTTACTCCTTTGAGCCACAGGCACCAACCCACAGAAGCTCTTCTTCATAAAATAATGAAGGAAAACTTTCCAGACATGCCAAGAGATTTTGAAATTCAGATAGCAGTTTCAGAACCCCCCAGCATGACTCAACCCGAATAAGACATCTCCTAGGCACATTATAATTAACTTTGCCAAAGTTAAAATGAATGAGAAAATTCTGCAAGCAGCCAGAAGAAAACCATAACCTACAAAGGGAAGACTATTAGAATAACTGCAGACATCTCTACTGAAACCGTTCAAGCTAGAAGAGGGTGGTCATCGACTTTTAGTCTCCTAAAACAAAATAACTTTCAACCCAGGATCCTGTATCCAGCGAAAATGAGTTTCATTTATGATGGAGAAATTAAATACTTCAGTGACATTCACATGTTGAAGAAATTCACCATAACTAAACCAGCTATCCAGGATAGTCTTAGACCTATCCTCCATAATGAACAGTGTAATCCTCCACCACAAAAGTAAACTCACTTGGCTCGGCACCTGTGGCTCAAGCAGCTAAGGCACCAGCCACATACACCTGAGCTGGCAGGTTCAAATCCAGCCTGGGCCCATCAAACAACAATGACGGCTGCAACCAAAAAAAGAGCTGGATGTTGTGGCGGGTGCTTATAGTCCCCCCTACTTGGGGAGGCAGAGGTAGGAGAATCACTTGAGCCCAAGAGTTGGAGGTTGCCATGAGCTGTGATGCCATAGCACTCTACCCCGGGTGACAGCTTGAGGCTGTGTCTAAAAAAAAAGTAAACTCAGAAACTTTTGATCAAATTCCAACTTCCACAGTGGCAAAAGGTTTAAAAATGAAAATGTCTACTGCACCTTTGAAAAACTCGATACCCAAAATTCTACCAGTCTTTATCAATATTTATAATTAATGTGAATGGCTTAAATTGCTCTCTAAAGAGGCACAGGTTAGTTGACTGGATAGAAAAACTCAGGCCAGATATCTGCTGCATACAAGAATCTCATCTTACCTTAAAAGATAAAATATAGACTCAGGGTGAAAGGACGGTGATCTGTATTTCAGGCAAGTGGAAATCAGAAAAAAGCAGGTGTTGCAATTTTATTCTCAGATATAATAGGCTTTAAACCAACAAAAGTAAGGAAAGATAAGGATAGTCACTTCATATTTGTTAAGGGTGTAACACTCAACATGATGAGATTTCAATTATTAACATTTATGCACCCAAACAGAATTCACCTCAATTCATAAGAGAGATTGACATAAGCCACTTGATTTGCCCCGGCACAATAATAGTCGAAGATTTTAACACTCCTTTGGCAGTATTGGATAGATCTTCCAAAAAAAAAAAAGCTAAGCAAAGAGATTTTAGACTTAAACTTAACCATTCAACAATTGGATTTAACAGACATGTACAGAACATTTAATCCTAACAAAATTGAATACACATTCTTCTCATCAGCCCATGGAACATACTCTAAAATTGATCACATCTTAGGTCACAAGTCTAACTTCAGCAAATTTAAAAGAATAGACATTATTCCTTGCATCTTCTCGGACCATCTTGGAATAAAAGTTGAACTCAATAACAACAGGAATCTGCATACTCACACAAAAACATAGAAACTAACCTTATGCTGAATAATAATAACTGGGTCATAGGTGAGATTAAGAAGGCAATTACCAAATTTTTGGAACAAAACAACAATGAACACGTGAATTATCAAAACCTCTGGGATACCACAAACGTAGTCCTAAGAGGGAAATTTATAGCACTCCAAGCCTTAAGAGAACAGAAAGAGAGGACATAAACAACTTAATGTGACATCTCAAGCAACTGGAAAAGGAAGAACATTCCAATCCCAAACCCAGCAGAAGAAATGAAATAACCAAAATTAGAGCAGAATTAAAGACATTGAAAACAGAAGGATTATACAACAGATCAATAAATCAAAAAGTTGGTGTTTTGAAAAGGTCAATAAAATAGATACACCTAACCAGGAAAAAAAAAGTAAAATCTCTAATTTCATCAATCAGAAATGGTAAAGACGAAATAACAACAGACTCCTCAGAAATTCAAAAAATCCTAATGAATATTACAAGAAACTCTATTCTCAGAAATATGAAAATCTGAAGGAAATAGACCAATATTTCCAATACTTGGGAGCACAACACCTTCCTAGACTTAGCCAGAATGAGTGGAAATGTTGGAATAGACCTATATCACTAGTTCTGAAATAGCATCCACTATACAAAATCTCCCTAAAAAGAAAAGCACAGGACCAGATGGCTTCACATCAGAATTCTACCATACCTTTAAAGAGAAACTAGTACCTATATTACTCAACCTTTTTCAAAATATAGGAAGGAATACTACCCAACACATTCTATGAAGCAAAAATCACCTTGATCCCCAAACCAGGAAAAGATCCAACAAGAAAAGAAAATCATAGACCAATACCACTAATGAATATTGATGCAAAAATATTCAACAAGATCCTAGCAAACAGAATCCAGCAACACATCAAACAAATTATACACCATGACCAACTGGGTTTTATCCCAGGGTCTCAGGGCTGGTTCAATATATGTAAATCTATAAATATAATTCATCACATAAATAAAATTTTTAAAAAAGACCATATGATTCTCTCAATTGATGCAAAAGTAACTTGATAATATCTAGCATCCTTTCATGATCAGAACACTTAAGAAAATGGGTATAGAAGGGACATTTCTTTTTTCTTTTTCTTTTTTTTTTTTTTTTTTTGGCATCACCCTCAGTAGAATGCTGTGGCATCACACAGCAACCTCCAACTCCTTGGCTTAGGCGATTCTCTTGCCCCAGCCTCCTGAGTAGCTGGGACTACAGATGCCCACCACAATACTCTGCTATTTTTTTGTTGCAGTTTGGCCAGGGCTGGGTTTGAACCCACCACCCTCAGTATATGGGGCTGGCGCCCTACTGACTGAGTGACAGTCACTGCCCAGAAGGGATATTTCTTAAAATGATAGAGGCCATCTACAGCAAACCCACAGCCAGTATCATATTGAATGGAGTTAAACTGAAATCATTTCCACTCAGATCAGGAACCAGGCAAAGTTGCCCATTGTCTCCACTGCTTTTTAATATTGTAATGGAAGTCTTAGCCATTGCAATTAGGCATGAAAAGGCGATCAAGGGTATCCACACAGGGTCAGAAGAGATCAAACTTTCACTCTTCACAGATGATATGACTGTGTATCTGGAAAACACCAGGGATTCTACTATAAAACTCCTAGAAGTGATCAAGGAATACGGCAGCACCTCAGGTTACAAAATCAACACTCATAAATCTGTAGCCTTTATATATACCAATGATAGGCATGCTAAAAAAAAAAAAGATGAAATATTTCAAAGCTTACCTAACAAAGGATGTGAAAGGTCTCATAAAGAGAACTATGAAATTCTAAGAAAAGAAATAGCTGGAGATGTTAACAAATGGAAAAACATACCATGCTCTTGGCTGGGAAGAATCAACATTGTTAAAATGTCCATACTACCCAAAGCAATATACAATTTTAATGCAATCCCTATTAAAGCACCACTGTCATACTTTAAGAGATCTTGAAAAAATAATACTTCGTTTTATATTTTATATGGAATCAGAAAAAACCTCAAGTAGCCTTTACTCAAGACATTACTCAAATAAAAACAAAACAGGAGGAATCATGCTACCAGACTTCAGACTATACTGTAAATCAATAGTGATCAAAACAATATGGTACTGGCACAAAAACAGGTAGATGTATGGAATAGAATAGAGAACCAAGAGATGAACCCAGCTACTTACCGTTATTTGATCTTTGACAAGCCAATTAAAAACATTCAATGGGGAAAAGATTCCCTATTTAACAAATGGTGCTGGGTGAACTGGCTGGAGACCTGTAGAAGACTGAAACTGAACCCACACCTTTCATCATTAACTAAGATAGACTCTCACTGGATTAAAGATTTAAACTTAAGACATAAGACTATAAAAATACTAGAACAACAACCAAAGAAAATAGACAACCTACATAATGGGAAAGGATATTTGCCTATTTTGAATCAAACGCTTGATAACTAGGATCTATAGAGAACTCAAATGAATCCAATCCACATGAAAAAAGCCAACAATCCCATATATCAATGGGCAAGAGACATGAATAGAACTTTGTCTAAAGAAGACAGACAAATGGCTAACAAACATATGAAAAAATGCTCATCATCTGTAATTATTAGAGAAATGCAAATCAAAACCATCCTGAAGTACCATCTAACCCCGGCAAGAATGGCCCACATCACAAAATCTCAAAACTGCAGATGCTGGTGTAGATGTGGAGAGAAGGGAATACTTTTACACTGCTGGTGGGACTGCAAACTAATACAACCTTTTTGGAAGGAAGTACAGAGAACCCTCAAAGAACTTTAGCTAGACCTCCCATTACTGGGCATCTACCCAGAAGGAAAAAAATCCTTTTATCATAAGGACACTTGCAAGAGACTGTTTATTACAGCTCAATTTACAATCACCAAAATGTGGAAACAGCCTTAATGCCCAACAACCCAGGAACGGATTAACAAGCTGTGGTGTATGTATACCATGGAATCCTATTCAGCCATTAAAAAAATGGAGACTTTACAGCCTTCATATTAAGGTGGATGGAAGTGGAACACACTGTTCTTAGTAAAGCATCACAAGAATGGAAAAGCATGAATCCAATGTATTGAATTTTGATATGAGGACAATTAATGATACTTAATGACACAGTGGGGGTGGAAGGGGAAAGTAGAGAGGAAAAGAAGGAGGGATGGGGGTGGGGTCTTGGTGGGTGCCACACCTTTTGGGGGCAAGACATGATTGTAAGAGGGACTTGACCTAACAAATGCAATCAGTGTAACCTGGTTTCTTATACCTTCAAGGAATTTCCAACAATAAATTAAAAAAGAAAAATACTAGAAGAAAGTGAGGGAAAACACTTGAAGAAATCAGCCTGGGCGAATATTTTATGAGGACGCCTCAGGCAATTGAAGCAACACCAAAAATACATTACTGGGACCTGATCAAACTAAAAAGCTTCTGCATAGCCAAGAACACAGTAAAGCAAGCAGACAGCCCTCAGACTGGGAGAAGATATTTGCAGGTTATGTTTCCGACAAAGGTTTAATAACCAGAATCTACAGAGAACTCAAACATATTCACAAGAATAGAACAAGTGATCCATCTCAGGGTGGGCAAGGGACTTAAAGACTTCTCTGAAGAAGACGCACATGGCCTACAGACATATGAAAAAATGCTTATTATCCCTAATCATCAGAGAAATGCAAATCAAAACTACTTTGAGATATCATCTAACTCCAGTAAGAATAGCCCACATCACAAAATCCCAAAACCAGAGATGTTGGCATGGATGTGGAGAAAAGGGAACACTTCTACACTGCTGGTGGGAATGCAAACTAATATGTTCCTTT